CCCAGCCTGTCTGACCTACTTGCAGGACCCCCCAGGTCAAGGCTAGGCAGTGGTAGCCCAGCCCTGCCCTTTCCCACCCCCAGACCCAGCTCTTCTAGGGCTCTTGATGCATCAGGGCCTCCCTGATCCCCAAATCTGGACCTGGTCCTATGCCTGCACCTAGGCACCTGGGCACTATTCCCAGGGTCCCATCACTAGCTCCACTGGTCTCTGTTTGCATGCCTCGGTCTCCCCACAATGTCTGCTACCCAACAGAGCCAGGTCACAGTCCTCCGCCTCCACAGCGACCCCCTGCCCCTCGTTCCTCCCCTTTTCTGCTGCTGCCCTTCTGCTGAGTGTCTGCTTAGCCCCCGCTGTCTGGGGAATGCCTCTTCGTCCTGCAGGACCCTACTCGGCCAGCCCCAGCTCTGTAAAGGCATTCCTGATGGTGCCTGAGTGGGTGGGCTGCCTACCGCTGCTCCCATGTCCCCACCACCTGCCCTTGTTCTCTGTTTCCTCTGTAGATCACCAGCCCCACAAGGGTTGGTTCAGGGAGTGAGTTTCTCTGTGTTCTGCCTGAACATAAGGCAGAGCTCAGGGAGGGCCTGGACCTGCATGACCAGCTCAGGTCACCACAGAGGAGGGCCGTGGGCACCATGGGACCTCCATCTCTAACAAGGGGCATTCTTTGGGTGGGGGTGGGGGTGGGGAACTGAGAAGGCCAAGGTCACCAGACTGAGCTTTAGTGAAGGGAAGGCACCACAAGGAGGCTGGAGAGGGGCCTGGGCAAAGACGTGTGAACTCAAAGGTATGTGGAGAGGAGGGGTGACTGCAGAGCACCAGTGGGCCCCCCTGGCTGTGTTCCTGGCCCCCATAAGAAGAAGCCCCTGGAGGTGGGCATTCCCCAGCTCCAGGGGCTGCTGCCAACGTCCCCTGTGCCTCTCTCCGGGATGAGATCTGATTATTCCTCTAATTAGGTATCAAATGACAGCCCATGTCTCTGTCACACATAACTGCTCTCCCACTGACTAGTTTTAGAAGGAGCTGTCAAAATAATTGTCTAGGAAAATGGGTTCCTGAGATGTTGAGCTTTAGGAATCTCAACCCCCTCACCCCCATTAAGTGTTTGCATAACTCTGGCTGGGCGGGGTGTGAGGCTGAAGGTGGCCCCCACACTGTCAGCAGGACAGGGCGCCTCACACTGTGGGACTTGGGCCAGCCACTCACCTCCTGAACCACACTTTGCCCATCTGGTGGAGGGGGATGGAGATGGCAGAGGCTGGAGTCAGGGAGGCCTGTGCATTGTGAGCTCCAGATCCCAGAAGAGCACTCTAACCTCTAAAAACAAGACCAAGTTCTAAATTAGAGGGTTTTCTTTTTTGTTTTGTTTTTTGACATTGTAAATCCCTCAGGGCCCGCAGTCAGAGGAGGAAATATGGAGGAGAGACACAGTAAACCATGATCAGTTACAAGACCACAGAAGGACAAACCCATCCAAGTTCCTTTAGAGAACAGATGGGGAAACTGAGACGTGGGGAGTGGTAGGATGGCCCCAGAGTTCTTGCTAGAACCTCAGTGTCCAGATTCCGTGCTCAGCTGGGAAGTCCCCTAGCATTTCTCTGTCCCTGGATTTCTGACTTGTCCTATTTGAGGTGGGAGAAATTGGCAACCCCACCATCAGAGGGAGACCTTGTGTTCAGTCAAGGCCTTCACATCTTTTCCCATGACAGGGGAGTGTCATTAAAGGCTGCTTGAAACCTTTGTGATGCCTGCTGTCCTGCTGACTGGAATGTAGAGGAGGCGGCTTGGTTATTCTTTCCTTGATACAGGCTATTTCATCTGTGAAAAAGAAAATACAAGTTTGTCCTTGGATGATGTGCTTCCTATAATAGGTAAGAAGATGGAAGCCCGAGTTACTAGAGGCCGATCGCCCCACCTGTCCCCCACCTCACAAGCCTTGGGGCCCTCCTTGCTGAAGCCTGGGTCCCCTAGGCCTCTGGACTCGGGGTGGTGGGTGGGCAGCGGGTGGGCCACAGGTCACAGCTGAGTTCTGCCTCAAAATCTGTTTCCCGGAGAGGCCCGGGCTGGAGTGCCTGCCTATGCTCTTTCCTTCCCAGAAGTGCTGAGTCCGAGGCTGGCATGGGGTGGGAAGGAAGACTGGGCGAAAAGGCCTCAGCGTGGTTTAGTTCTGTTTATTTTCCTTGTGGGGTGAGGACCCTGGAAAAGAGCGTGATTAATGCACCGGGCCCCTGGGGGACGGGCAGCTTTCCCAGACTGTTCAGAAGCTGAACTCAGGGAAGTGGCTTCCAAGGCAACCGCTACCATGGCAACAAGAGTGCCAGCTGAGGGGGGACCTGGCTCCTCGTCCCCTCCAGACCTAAGCGGCTGGAGTAGCTGGCACAGGACCAGGGCCCTGCTGTTTAGGAGCGGGGTCTGGTGAGAGGCATTCAGCCAGGAGGGAGAAGGGGCTCCCAAGAGCTCAGGCAGATAGACATCTGGAGGGAGAAAGACTTGGCGCCTGTGCCCAGGCCCCCAGACAGGGGTCAGACAGGAGTCCTGCTAACTGGGTTTGAGGCAGGAGGCCTGAGATCTAGGATGTGCCGGCTGGCTGAGACCAGCCCACACCTGAGCCCTAGAGCCAGGGGACTGGCCATCACAGTTCCGGGCCCCAGAGCCTCCCTCCCTCAGTGTGTCTGCCAGACCTCCCCCTGCCTAGCAGAGCCAGGCCCATGGCCTCAAAAAGGGTCGGGGACTTCCCAAGATCACCCAGTGAAGAGTGGCAGAGGGACTAGAACCCAGGACCCCTGATCCCTAAACGCAGACTCTGCCCCTGGCACTATGGCTGCCTCTTGGGGACAGAGACCTCTGCTCAGAGGGGCAGAGCAACCAGGCAGCAGCCGAACCCCACAAAGGGCTGGAGGCCAGGCCCATCTGGAAAGTCTAGACCTATCTCCACCCGCACAAGTGAAGGAAAGGGGGGGAAACTTGTCTCTCTCACTGGCTCCGGGTAGAGGGATTGCGCCCTGAGGAGACAGGAGTGAGAAGGACCAGCCATAGCCAACCCTCGATGGCGCACTGGCTGTGTGTGCCTGGAATTGCTCTAACCTCTCCCCGTTTATTAATCCGTAATTTCACAACAGGACCATAAAGTAAGCACTAGTATCCCCGATTTTGGGTTGAAGAAACTGCCACTCTCAGACACTGACTAACTTGCCCAGGGCTCAAAGCTAGTTACGTGGCAGAGCTGGGATCTGAAGCCAGGCTGCCTAGCTCTGGGTCCCGAGTGTCTCTGGGAAGAATCCCAGTTCTGTCTTCCTACCTGTACATCAGGGTTTTTCTCTCTTTTCTCTGCTCAGTTCTTCTAAGTGGGGTGACTTACCTCCCGGGATGGCTACAGAAACTAAGCAAGATAACGCCTGGACATTTCTCCACCAGCAGCTGTTGCTTAGTGCATGACGATGCTAACAAACCCAGAGGAGACACTGGAGCACTAAGGCAGAGCCATGAAGGATGACAGGGGCCTTGCCAGGTGGACCGGGGTGGGGAGGTGGAATGGTAGAGGTGGGCCGCCTGAGCAAAGGCACAGAGGCCTGAGAGCCAGCTGGAGCTGCACCCAGAACTGGGTGGGGACACTTGGTCCAGGAAGACCCTGGAAATCACCTTTCAGCTGGCCAACCCGGAGGACTAAACTCATACCCTGGTTCCAAGTCCCCAGGGACTGGGAGGCTTTGGGCCAAAAGGCTTAGAATCTGCAGGCCTGTTTCTTCCAGCTCATTCCCCTCCAGGGAGAACAAGGGGTGTGAGGCCGAATGCAGGGATGAGTTGGGTCAGGTGGAAACATCCAATCAGTGGGGCACGCATACTGTTTCCCTAGCCACCAGGGAGTGTGGACCCCGCCTTTTGGGTGCCTTTTGGGCGCCAATTCTGACCAAGGTGATAGGCTAGTTCAAATAGCTACTATGGGGTGAATTGTAATTCAATTGGCCACCCGCATGTGACCTAGCACGACTGTGCAGTTTTCTCTGTGTGTTACAATCTCATTGGCCACCTGTGTGTGGCCAGGCCCAACCACATGGCCTTTGCTCTATAAAAGTCAGTCTGTAAGGCAGGGAGGGGTCCGCCCTCTCTGTAAGAGGCGGCCCTGAACGGTTGGTTTGATTCTCGATGCTTGGCGCGAAATAAAGCTTTGCTTGACCTTCGCTTTGTATCAGTCTCTCTCCTTTGATCACGGACCTATCACTGGGGGACCTATCAGTTGCTGCAAAGGGAAGACTGTCAACAGAAAGGATGTCAGCGTCAATACAGAGGCTTTGATGCCTCAGGATGGCTCCTAGAGTGAGGAGCCCCTGACCCCACCTCCCCTCTCCCCAGAGAAGCTGCCAGCAGCACCTCTTCCACTGCCTTGGTCCTCAGACCTCCCTCCTGCTCCTCCTTGGGAACTTCCCCCGTCCCACCCCAGCCCTCACCAGTGTAGTTCTGAGGGTGACAGGGGACAAAACACATGGAAGCCCTTTGCACGATGAACATGACAGCTGTGGCTGTGAGGCACCATTTTTCTTTGTTCTGGCTCTGGTAAGTCCTGGGAACACAACGGATCCTCAAGAAAGGCTTAGTGCTGCTCTGGACAGAGCGGACCTTCGTTCCTGCTTGGGCGCGTGGCTGGCCTGGGCACAGGACACACCTACTAAGGCATTTTTTTGAAGCCGGTTTGTGTGATGGTTGCTGATGTCGGTCTTCCACCTGATGGGGAGACCCTACAGGACAGAGGCTGTTTCTCACTCATCTCTGGGTCCTGCCACAGAATAGGAGACTGACAAATGTTGATGAACTTCATTCCCTCCCCTAAAAAAGAAAAGCAATGATCTCTCCTTCACCTTGTTTTGATCCAACGAGGGGCTAGATTTAGACGGTCCCGATGAGGGGCACCTTCTCCCCACGGGGCTACACTCGGCCCCTCTCCAGAAGGCCCATCTCCCTCTCAGGTTTACAGGGGAAGAAAGGACCACCAGAAAGACAACAGCTAGAATTTAAAACAGTTTTATTAAAACAAGCACATCGTGTAATAGCACTGTCGTGTTGTGTAAGTGTCCGTCTGACTTGTACAGACCCATGTTCTCTAGGCAGCTGGGCACTCAGCTTCCTGGAGGCCAGATGCGCCTTCAGGCTCTCTGGCTCCAGGCGGCTCTTGGCTCGGACCCAGGGCTGCCCGCGGTCTGGGTCCCCATCAGGCACGGAGCCCCTTCTAATTGCCCTGGACTGGTGCTGCCCTCCAGCAGACACAGCCTCTGAGTCACTGGTCACCTTAACAGCTTAAAACCAGTTAGAATAATAGGAAACAGCGGAATAAAACCTTTCACATGCATGGTCATTCAAGGAAGAGCAAGCCATGACATGTTCTGGAAAATCCACCGGCTTGCAGTGGGAGTGTGAAGTCCCATAGTTGCTGGAAGTGCATGGTTAAAAAAACAAACATTTTTTTTTTAAAAAACGAATTAATACGGACTTCAGCAGCAATCCCAACAAGGAAGAGGATGATGAATGAGGGACACTTTTCGGTCCGGGCAAAGATTCTGCGCTTCTCCTGCGCTGCAGACTGGAAGACTGATCTGGCCTTCTGAATGCAGAAGGCTCCCTGCCCTTTCTGGAATTGAGTGGATGGCTTTGCTCAGCCCAGGGGAGGACATCCGGAGGACAGAGGAAGGGGTGGGGTGTGGGGGGGTGACAGTGCAGAGAGAGGAACGAGCCTCTGTCAACCTCCACTTTTCAAGGCTGGCTCCCTGAGGGCCACAGCCCCAGCCGCTGCCGCCACTGGCCGTGGCCTGGGAGAGCAGGCAGGATCCTGGATCTGCAGGCGGGTGAGCAGGTGGGCAGGAGCCCAGTGGAGAGATGTCCCTGCCGGGGGCGATTATGCAAAGTGACAAGTGATTGCTTTCCTTTTCAAAGACAACCCCTTTGGATGGAGCTTTTTCCTTGAGGACTCTGGGGAGATAGGAGGTTGGGTGGGAACCTCAGGGCCTTTGACAGGATGGAGCCACACAGCAGCTTCCTCGGCTTACTCTGCAGACTCTGGTCACTCCTGGGCAGGCCGTGGTTGGGGAAACCATGGCTGGGGCGGGTCAGAGTGCGGCTGGAGTTGGGCACGGGTCTGGGTCACCGCTGCGGCCTGCCTGGGCCAAGGCCCTCCGGCGGGCCAGGCGTGACTTGCAGGGTGGGGAAAGCCTCACAGAGCAGAGGCCCTCAACCAAGGACTCAGACTCCTCTGCCAGCTCGTCTTCCTCACGCTGAGAAAGCTGGCGGTTGAGGGCGATGGCCTCGGCCGCGAAGAGTGTCAGGTCCATCGTGCTGCTATTTCTATAGGGGCGGGTAGCACAGAGCAGAGGGAAGCGGGGCTCAGCACCCTGGCTTGGCCAGCCCGCTCCCAGACCCTGGAGGCTTTTTCTGGGCTGCTCCCCCAGGGAAGTCGTTCTTGCCCAGGTTTGGAATCTGATTTCACTGAGGCTGGAATGGCTTTTAGCCTCAACTACAGTCCTTGGACTTAGGAGTTGGGACAAATGCCCCCTTCTATTCAGAGCACCCCCTCCGCACTCCCATGCTCTGCACCCAGCTCTCCCAAAGGGCCGGGCACATGAAGCGCCCACCCATGTATCCCCTTCTCCCATCAGGGCAGGGAGCTCCAGGAGCAAGGGCTGTGCCTTTGCGTCTGTATCCCTGGGGCCCAGCCCAGGGCAAGCATACAGCAGGCACTGCGGTCTGCCAAAAATATCTCGTAGGGTGGATCTAGAGAGTCAGGTAGGGCTGCCCTGGGCAGCAGCACTCCGGCTCACCCCAGTGGCGACTACAGATACGTAAGACTTCCCAGCACCCCGTCATGAGGTGGCCCCCTGGCAGGGTTCCCACTGTGTGGTACCTCGGTCCTCTGGGAATAGGGCAGTGCTACCAGGAGTATGGTCTAGTGTTAAAAGGCACTAGAGTCAAACAGATACAGGTTCAAAGTCCAACTCCCCAAGGCAACTGTGCAGCCCTGAGGGAGAAACTTCAATCTCTCTATTCTTGGGTTTTCTCGTCCATAAAATGGGGTAATAGGAACACCTCTCTTTTAAATTGATCATAAAGAGTATGAATAGAAGCTCTGTAAAGCCCTTAGCACCAGATCTAGCACGTAGTATACATTTACTATAGAGCAGCCATTACTATTACTGTCTAGGGGTGACGGGAAAATTGGTCCAGCTGCCTCACAGCGACCCCTCCTGCCACAGACACCAACCCGCAGCAGCAGGAAGGAACCTTGGGGTGAATAACCTACAGATAAGGTCTTTGGGCTATAAATGGTGATTTCTAGTTAGATGCAAGCAGATATGGAAACAGTTTTTTTCTCCTGCAAAGAGCACCTGAGGGGCCTTGAAGGAGCAGGAGGGGAGAGGAGGGGCCGTGCTAAGAAGGCAGGCTGGGGGGCCCTTTCAGGAGGACGACACCTGAGCCTAGAGTTAGGCTCCCTATCCCCACCTCCACCCCAGTGTGGCTGAGAGTTTGAGGGAAAGTCAAAGCCAAAGAAAGAAGGGCATCAGGTGTGGTTGGAGCATTTACCTCTGGAGGACTTGCGGCGTGGGGAGTCCCCTTTCTGGAGCTTTCTAGAATGGGAAGGACAGATGTGGCGGTAAGCAATGCTCCCTTCTTTAGGACCTGCCCGACCCACACCAGTGCAGAGTGGGTAGGCTACTAGAGATTCCTGGCCCAGCACAGATACTTGGCCAAGCTTGCCTGCAGGGTCAGACCCTCCAAGGAGAGAGCAAGAAAGGACAGTTTGAGCCCAGCTGACTCTGCCAGGAGACTCACTCCCTTTGCCTGGCAAAGTCTTCTTTATCCTCTTAGACCCAGCTTGAGGGTCACTTCTGAGAAGCATTCATTCTCCCACCCCTGCCACCTCCCTACCCCTGTCCAAGCAGAGGTGGAATCTCATCCTTTTATGCCCCTAGCACTTTTGATAAGCTTTTGTTACACTATCCCATAATTTACTGCCTTGTCTCCCTCTCCCCATTAGAGTAAGAAGACAGGGATTGGGTCTTAATCATCCCAGTATCCCCAGAGTCTGGCATGGGGTAGGTGCTCAGTAAAGTTAGCAGCTCTTGGGCAGCTAGCAATCAGCCACTCAGAGGTTTCTAGATTGGGTCCCCCACTGTAACATGGGGCTGGCAATGTTTGCTTCCTTCCACTGGAAGGGCCACTGAGGCTGGCTAGGGCCCGGCAGACGAATGACACAGGCCCCAAATGCCAATACCAGGCTGCTTCCAAGCCTGTGTGCCTCTGCCAATGGTAGGATGCATGTGCCAAATCCCGCAGAGGCCTCTGTTCATTCCTGAGCAGCATGGGTTAGTTAGAAGCCTAGTCCTAGGACAAGGTTAGCGCCAAGTCTATGACCCATAAGGGGATCCTTCAGGGGCTACGTCAATAGTCAGTTCACTCTACATGGGCAGGAACTGAAGCTGGTCTCCCTCCAGCTGAGGTCAGCCCCCTGGGCTGCTGTCTAGTACTTGCTACTCTAAAAGCTTCCTCCCTGCCACGCTACAGGCCTGGGGAGGTGGACTGCCGCCCCTCCCCGGGTTACTCACCCCCTGCACCCAGGGGTGCTGCAGAACTTGGGCAGCACTCAGTCTCTGCTTTGCATCTCGAACCAGGAGCTTAGAGATGAGGTCTTTGGCCTCGCTGGAGATGTGTGCCCAGTCCTTGTCAGGAAACTCATACTTGCCTTCCTGGATGCTCTCAAACAGCTTGTTCTAGGTAAAGAAGATTCCTCCTGCCACACTACCACGGAATAAGCAGAATGTACCTGCCATTGATTTGGTCACCCTGGGTCCCCTTGTTTTCAGCTGGAGCTGTAGCTCATGGCTCGGGGATGCCAGAGGCCAGGGACCTCCCCAGCTCCCCACTCCCTGCTCAGTCATCAGACCACACAGGATGCCTGTCGGGCAGGGATGGCTGCGCTACTTGGAGGGTGGGTGACTCGTGGCAAATGCCAACTAGGGAACACAGCCCCAGTTCCTCAGCCCTTTACACGGGGGCCCCACAAATGGGCCCCTGGCATCCTGTAAGGTTTCAGCTGCCCCTACCGCCAACCTTACACTTCTACTCCTCTTCCTTGTACCCATGCAGCTGTCTCACACCTCCTTGTCTTGGCTGGTGTGGCCACCCCTACTTGGATTTCTTGGGCAAGACTCAAATTTGTAGGCTCCGCTCTAACAACTCTCCCCTAAACTCCCAGCTAAGCCTGTCTCTCAGCCTGTCGTCAGCCTTTGGACAGAAGGGGGAAGGGGCATTAGGGACCCTCTTCTGGAGCAGAAACAGCCCCAGCCGTCTTGTTGGGCATCCCCCCAAGCACACTGACCATTCCTGCCCCCCAACCCCCGCCAACGCCGGCAGGCCCTGTGCAGCGGGTCCCCAAGCTGCACTCACCTGGCACACCCTGCAGACCTCTCCCCGGTCCCAGCCACAATCAGTCCCACAGTGACCTACGAAGGGGGGGTAGCCGCTCAGCATGATGTAGAGGACCACGCCCAGGCTCCACAGGTCACAGCGCTTGTCATAAAAGGTGGCCTCATCCCTGAAGACCTCCACCACCTCCGGGGCCATGTACTCTGCAGAACCACACTGTGGGGGCCAAGGTTGGGAGAGGAAATGGCAGAGAAGGGAGAGGCTTAGTCACAGGGAGAGGAGCTGGCTAAGAGCAGAATGTGATGATGGCACTTGAGCAGCATGGGGCTGCAGAGCAAGGAGTTGCCAGGAAAGCCGGCCAGAGGGTTCGCCTGATACCACCAATGCACTTCGAGAAGCTGGGCTAACTGAGTGTTTGTAAACGGAGTCCTAGCGTTCCCCACGGTCCACATGACCAGTTCCAGGTCACCTTCCTATCTTTCCAGGCCCTTCTCCAGTAGGCTCCAGGTCAAGGAGCTGCAGGAATCTCTGCCTCAGCTCTCTGCATTCACTTCATGTACAGGGGGGCTTCAACGGACCAGGGGCACGGCTCTGGGAAGGGCTCTGTGGACATCTAATCCCAAAAGCAAGGAGTTCTTTTTTTTCTTTCTTTTTTTAAATCGTAAGTAGGCTCCATGCCCGACACGGGGCTTGAATTCACAACCCTGAGATTAAGATCCGGGCCGAGATCAAGAGTTGGATGCTTAACTGACTGAGCAACCCAGGTGCCCCCAAAAGAGAAGGAGTTCTTAAAAGTGAAGTCCTGCCAAGCTTCTCTGCCAGCTTGGAGGTATAAGGTTTAAGGAAGTAAAAGAGGTATAAGGACTCAGAATTAAGAGTCCGTCCAACCTGGAAGAGCTCTTAGAACAAATGCAATCTCCCTGCTTCTCCCATTTATAGATGGGAAAACCAAGGATGAGGAGGGGGCAGGGATCTGGTTCCAGCACACCAGTGGTAAACCCAGTACATTCAGGACTTTTCCTTCCATCCTTGCATAGAAGATGCTGATAAAAACAAAACAAATTCTTTTTGCTCCCATCATCCTTATTGCAGGCTTGCCAAGAGATACCTCCCTGGCCCCCAACATACACAACTAATTAGATGGGAAGACAGGAAGTGGAGAAAGGACATTTTCCGTGTTATTGGCAATTAGAGTTAATGACTTTGAGAACAAGGTACCTCAGTGTAATAGAAGCTAATACAGAAACATTTCTAATAATGTCAATTAGAATAAGACATGAGCATACTGAAATGCATGTTTTAAAAAAGGTTATTAGGAAAATTCACTTATGAAGCATGCAAATGTCAAAAGATTCATAATAATTATAGTACATCGGGTATGTGCAAGAGCTATCTTAGGAAGAACAGCTCCCAGCTGCACATCTGGGCATGAAATACGAAGTGAAGGAAGCAACAGGATAACTTAGGCAAGTGATCCTACACGTAGAGAGCTGGGACCTCTCAGTTCTGGCCACAGAGAGACTACACTCCCCCTCTCCATCACAGGGTGATGCGTTGAGACGCCGCCAGGGAGGGCGGGACTCAGAGCTGTTGTGTGCTCACACGCAAAGGGCTGGCCTGGGATATTGTCTGTCTTTACCTGGGTCAGGAGTCAGGGCTCAGCCTGTCCCACAAATACAATTTGTCTCATTACTGGCAGAGGACCTGCCTTGAACAAAAAGCTCTCATGTCAGTTTCATTAGCAACTAAGCACTGACGGGGAGGGTGGCTCACAAAGCAGGGGCCATATGACAACTCAGGCAGAAACCCTCGGTTTTCCTTCCTTAGCTCTCTGTTCTGGACTCCAGCCTTGGGTTGGGGGTACTACAAGAGCACAGGAGCCCTGAAGGAGGTGGTACGGGGGGCTCAGCCATACATACTGGAGTGGTCAGCTCTGGTGTGGTTATGGGGGTGCAGGAGTTGTTCAATTTCACCCCGCTGCCCAAGTCAAAGTCACAGATTTTCACTGGAGACACCTGAAAAGGACAACAAAAAGCAAAGGTTACAAATATAAGAAACCCAAGGGCAAGAGGAGACCAATGTGAGTGTGACACAGTCACTCACCATCCCTCACTCCTTCCCCTCTCACTCAATGGCTCTTGCTCATGCGTGTGTGCACACACACGCACGCACACACACACACACTCTCTCGCACGCTCTCATTCTATGGCTGCCATGCCAAAGCCCAGCTTTATCTGCCACGTCATGTTTACTCTCTTTGGGTTAACTAGAAATCACCTGAGGATTTACCCTAAGGTGTCCTCTACCCCACACTCTCTCCTCACTTCCTAAGAGAAAATGTGCATGCTACATGGTGTCAGACCGCTGTGCACTTAGTAAAATGAGCAGCAAACCTATGGAACTTTTGCCCACAAATGACAAATGACGGTGTAGGCTGCAGAATCAGAGAAGTATGTATTCCTGAAAGACTCCTGGTGGCCCATTCAGTGGGGGGCACCACCTCAGGTGGCTTGGGGTGACCAACTCATCTTTGCTTGCTTGGGACTTTGTTGGTTGCAGCATTGAAAGCTGTGTATCCTGGGCCCCAGCAACCTGGGAGGGCTAGTCACCCAAACTGGATATTGCCCCTGAAACCACAGACAGCATGAGTCATCTCTGGAGCCGAGTGGGAGGGTACCTCGCGTGCCTGCCAGAGAACAGCCTGCGTGGTGGAAGCAGCACAGTGAGCCCCTCAAACATGCTGGTTATGGGAGTCCCAGCTCAACCACAGCCCTGCTGGGGAAGCCGACCATGTTTCAACTTCCTTTCCTTCCTTTCTTCCCCTCTCCCTTCCTCCTCCTTCTCTCTCTTATACCCTTCTTTTTCACTTAGTCTCTTTTTTAATTGTGATAAAGCATATATAACATAAAATAATCCACTTTAGTCATTTTTGAATCTATAATTCTGTGGCACTAATTACAACCATCCCCCGTATCTGTTTCTAAAACTCTTCCGTCATCCCAAAAGGAAACCATGAGGTAGAAACTCCCCATTCTCCCCTCTCCCCAGTAACATTTCATCTATTTGCCATCTGTAAGAATTTGGCCATTTTAGATGTTTCATTAAGTGGAATCACGCAGTATCTGGCTTTTTGTGTCTGGCTTATTTCACTGAGCATGCTGTTTTCAAGTTTCGTCCATGGTGTAGCATGGATCAGAACTTCCAACTGTTGTGTGGCTGAACAATATTTCATATTATATATATTTCATATAATATATATATTTATATATAATATATACATTATATATATATTTCATATAACAATATTTCATATATTTCATTGTATGGGGGGACCACATTTTGTCTATCCATTTACCTGCTGATGGGCACTGTTGTGAATAATGCTTCCATGAACACTGATGTTCAAGTTCAAGCCTCTGTTTTCAATTCTTTTGGGTATATACATAGGTGTGGAACTGCTGAGTGGTATGGTAATCCTGTTTAGCTAGGTGAGGAGCTGCCACACTGCTCCACTGCGGCCACATCATTTCCAGTCCCCACCGGCAGTGGACTCCAATTTCTCCACAGCCTCATCAGCATTTGCTCTTCTCTAGTTTTTTCTTCTTTTTATAATTCTAACCATCCTAGCAGCTGTGAGGGGGTGTCTAATGATTTTTTTTAAGATTTTATTAATTTATTTGAGAGAGAGGCAGAGAGAGAAAGAGAGAGAGAGAGCATGAGCAGGGGGAGGGGCAGAGGGAGAAGCAGGGAGCCCAATGTAGGACTTAATCCCAGGACCCTGGGATCATGACTTGAGCCAAAAGGCAGATGCTTAACCAACTCAGCCACCCAGGTGCCCCTAATGATGGTTTTGATCAACAATTTCCCTAATGACCAAGGATGTTGAACATCTTCTCATATGCTATTGGTCATTTGTATACTTTTTTTGGGGAAATGTCTATTCAAGTTCATTGCCCATTTTTTTTTTTTTTAAAGATTTTATTTATTTATTTGACAGAAAGAGACACAGCAAGAGAGGGAACACAAGCAGTAGGAGTGGGAGAGAGAGAAGCAGGCTTCCCGCTGAGCAGGGACCCCCGATGTGGGGCTCAATCCCAGGACCCTGGGGTCATGACATGACATGAGCTTAATGACTGAGCCACCCAGGCACCCACTTTGCCCATTTTTTTTTTTTTTTTTTTTTTTAAGATTTACTTTTATTGGACAGAGAGAGAGAGAGAGACAAGTAGGCAGAGAGGCAGGCAGAGAGAGGGGGGAAGCAGGCTCCCCGCCAAGCAGAGAGCCTGATGCGGGGCTCGATCCCAGGACCCTGAGATCATGACCTGGGCCGAAGGCAGAGGCTTAACCCACTGAGCCACCCAGGAGCCCCCACTTTGCCCATTTTTAAAACTGGGTTATCTTTTTGATGTTGAGTTTTAGAAGTTCTTTATATTTTGGATATTAAACCTCTATCAGATATATGCTTTGAAAGTATAAGTACTTTCTCCCATTCTGTGGCTTATCTTTCCATTTCCTGGATAATGTCTTTTGATGCTTGGTTGCTCTTAGTTTTAGTTTTTCAACCACAGAAAAGGGGCAGTAAACCTGAGCCAATAAGATCAAATGAAAGGACAAAAGCCATAAAAGCATCTTGTGAACCGGAGGCAAGAGAGAAGATCAGAGCGTCTGCGGGGTGCTGGCATCAGACTACGTTAGTTTTAATTTGTACCCCACTACTTACCAGCTGAGGGCCTTTGGGCAGGCTTCATAATCTACCTGAGCTTCACTTCTGTCATCCATACAATGAGAACAGTAATAGGACCTACCTCATGGGATTTTATAAATACTTAATAAAATAAGTCTAAGTGCCTGGCACAATGTAAGCACTCAAGAAATGTTAACTATAATTATTATTAATAATCATAATGATAATGGTGACAAATTATAAAGTCTTATGCCAGAGCCACTGACAGGAAGTCACAAGATCTTATTTGAGCTAATGAATTACTACTCCCCACAAAAGAGCTGTAAGGAGCAGCTGACACATTCATTTGCAGCCGTTTCTATTTATGGGCTGTCCCTTAATTCAGACGGACAGGGTGTGTTCATACACACGTGCCCGTGTACATACACACACAGCCAGCAGACCCACCACGGCCTCAAACCCTCCAAACAAACAGAGAGCTTGTCAAATTCTTACATGCTTATGGAAGTACGGACACTTCCATTTAGTAGGAGGCTAAGGTAAAGTTTACAGTAGGTTGCATCTATTTAACACCCAGTATCCATGTTTGCTTTTTAATGGGCACCTTTGGAAATAAAAATGGAAACAAGAAACCCTTTCCAGGAACTTGCTTCCTAATTATTATGTCAAGTGCTAGGCACCAGCTGGCATATATACCATAGCATATACATCTTTTTTAGGCAAAGATTCACTTCACAGAAGACTGAGTTGTTGTCTATGACTCACACCAACTGCTCAATAGACAGGTGCACTGGGCTAGAAAACATTCATTTTGTGCAGTCCTCATGTATTTTACAAACTCTTAGGTGTAAGCCAATCACACTGTTGATAAAGAGCAAAGAAGAGACAGGGATTAACCCAATTTGGAATGCGGAAACACTACACGTTTGGTCTGACATTCTCACGTGTCCATAATAATCAGGGCAGGTTGGTACCTGCAGCTGGGAGAGCTGCTAACGACCTAACTGAAAGTAGACGTGGCTTCTCCACCTCGGTGTGAACTGTGTACCCCAACAAGTCAGCCTTAAGTACCTTTTCTGGAGACTCACACAATATATTTTCTGGCTTCAGATCGCGGTGAGCGATGCCTGAAATGACAGAGAGCAAAGAAATGGTTAACATACGCACATAATTATCAAACATTCCACACACAATTAATTTTTTCCAAATGCTGTTGTTCGCAGATTAATTCCCAATTATGGTACATTAAAAAATCAACGAGCTGCAGGAGGCAGAAGTAACCAGAGACGAACCAAAAGCACAGTAGATCTGCAAGTTCTTTTGAAGCCGAAGTTTACAAGGCAGGCAGGAATAAGAAGGGGGCTAAATGAATCCCAGCTAGCTGGCCTTTCAGCACGGCAGTGACAACCAAGAATAAGAAGCCTAATATGAAACAGAGCCAAGAGCCCTGCCAAAGGCCATGCTTGGAACTGCAATGCAGAAATAATCAGTGCCTTGTTTAAGAGCATCCCAGGGGATTGAAGCTGCTCTACCTCGTTTCTTCTTGTGTGGCCCACTTAGAAAAAAAATGATTCCCTAGGTGGGACTCCCTGCATGTTCAGAGGACCAAGCGTTAGTTAACAAATCTTCCAAAGTTTGTCCGATCCCCTTCGCACCTGCTCTGCATTTCCAAGACAGTCCTGTCGGAAGCACAGCAAGGAATGCTTTGGCTCCAGGGTGCTGTTCTTAAGAGACACCTCCCTCCCCTGCATTCTGACCAGACCTCCTAAAGGAGCCTGCAGACGGCAGCCTACTCCATGAGGGGTTAAAAGCTGGTAACCTGGCCAAGAAGGCCCCTGCGGGGTGGGGGGGGGGGGACCACCTTCTGACCAAAGACAGGGACAGAGAACCAACTCATAAAGTGTGGTGGACACTGGCACTCCATCCCTCTTGCCTCCTGCAGAATGCACAGTGCAGGGACAGAGGGGCCGGAAGGTTGAGCAAGAACCAAACAGCTAGTGCTCAGAAGTCCTACAAAGTAGCAGAATTTTCATGGAGTCACAGGGAAAAGCAGAACCTGCTTTCCTAAAACTCCCTCGATGACCAACTTCTCAGGCCTCCCTCCGATTCCCCGCCAGGAGGCACTTCGCCAGGGAGGGAAAACCTGAGCTCCAGCAGGCTAAGTAACTTCATCAGTCACCTAACTGAGTAAGAACCCAGAGCAACTCAGTCCAGGCTGTACAAATTGAGTCAGGCTGCAGCCTGCTGCACTAAAAGTGAAAGATATTTTCCATTACAGCAAGTGCTCCCACAGAAGGATCATGAGCCACACATGGAGCCTTGCTCTCCAAATAGGTGCTGATGGCCCAGTCGTCCCCCAGCCTGAGAACTGAGCGCCATGCCGGGATAATGGGCCTGCCTCCGCGAGCACACCGGCCATCGAGCTGCTCTGCTTCATTTCCCAGAGGTTAAGCTGCAGCGTGTCCAGTATTTAAAAGTGTGGAACTTGTTTCCAGGCTGACCCATTCCTGCCCAATCCATCTTCCCAGTGTGAAGTTATTTAGAAAACTGTGAAGTTCAGCTAGAAATTGTTTTTCATCCCAACTTCAAGTCACAGAGGCACCTGGTTGGCCAGATGCTGGCAAGCACTTCAGAACTCCTAACACACACACCAGCTCTGTTCCCTTTAGTCCGCCTTCTACAAAATAAATAAATAAAAAACAAAACTGCCTCTGCCCCCCTCTAAGGTATGGGTCTTGCAAAAAGTGTGACCCAGTTTTGCAATCTGCAGAGGCAGCTCGGGGAACAGTTGTAAATCTTTGTCAAGCAGGTGTTACCTACATGCATCCTGGCTTTCAGAAACAGAACTAGTGCTATTCATCATGCTGGGGAAAGTACAGACACCCCTTCTAGGAACTTTCGTCCCATGTGCAAGTCAGGCGCCCAGCATGGCCACTGTCAGCGTGCAGGTGTCCCTTCAGCAGCAGGAGGAAACAACGTAGGACCAGCGAGGCTGAGCTCCCCACACACGTGCCCCCCTCCCCCAGTGTGCACTGCGCTGCTGGCCCAAGGCAAGATGTGTGCCCACCATGCCTGCAAGTGGTCTGGAGCGCTCACAACCTATGTGGCCGGCCAATATCCACAATGTGGAAGGGAGCAGAGCTAAGTCACCAACTATTCAATCCACCCCCACCCCTCACCAGACAGAAGGCTTTATTTTAAGAGTATTAATACTAGGAATGAAAATGCTTCCTGTTTGGTGGGGGGATCAGGGCGGAGGAAGGAAGGAACACTCCTGCAGAGCTTTTATGTGCCGGGCCCTATGCCCCAACTGTGTTATACACACACAATTCATCCAGAGGCCTACACGGCTCCACAAGTGAGTGAGGACAGTGCTGCACATGAACCAGAGCAGCACTAACTGCCGCTGATGACATAATTCTCTCTCTTTTCACCCTAACTCTGGGGGTAGACATTACTACCAAGAGAACACACAGCTGATGAAAAGGTAACACCAGAATTCATTTTTCCATGGCACTGCTGTAAGGCACGTTTTAAAAAGGTAACCATCAGATATATTTTTGGAAAGACAAAAACAATTTGTAAAAAGATTTAATTCACTATAAAAATTCTTAAACAATCAGTCCTAGATAAGGGCCTTGTAAACTGAGCGTAAATCGGACAACAGCAGCCTGCAATCTACCATCATGATGTTCAACAGACACCTCAAACTTAACCACGTTAGTAGAAAAATGCATTTTTCCATTTATCGTGAACAAGATACAAAACTAGATATATACTATCATGCTGATTTTGAAAGAGAAAGATACAGGCGACATATTTTAAAAGACTAGAAAGGGGGTGCCATGGTGGCTCAGTTGGTTAAAGTGTCCCACTCTTGATCTCAGCTCAGGTCTTGATCAGGGGTCCTGAGTTAAAAACAAAAACAAAAACCTAGAAGAAGTAACACCCAAATATTTACACCAGAATAGTATTATGATGAGGCTTGCATCCTCCTAGGACAGGAGAAGGAGATCACCCATACTCACACACTCACTCATCTTATTCATCATGAAATGTACTCTTTTTCCCCCCTGCTCTTTCTCCCCTGTCCCTGCCCTTCTTAAGACTGCCACATCTGCCCACCATCCACATGGGAAGCCCAGGGCCATCCTGGCTTGCTTGCTCACCCTCATGGGTGGGGCTGCCAGGTACACCAGCTCCTGGCCTGGCTCTCTGCCTGGCCTGCCCCTCTCCATCAGTCCCCTGAGGCTGGCTGTTCCAACCCAATCACCAAGACAAAGGCTTGGTTCACCTTTGGTGTGCAGGAAGTCAAGGGCAGTGGCCACATCCCGCACCACTCGGCTGGCTTCTCGCTCATTGAAGTGCTTCTGCTTCTGGATATGGGCCAGGATGGAACCTGGGGAGGAGAGGAGACACACAGGTATGGTCTTTTCAGGCCTTAGGAAGCCTAACTTCTCAGAGGTCAAGTCTGCTCAAGTTTGGGGTGGGGATGGAGCCTTATTCATTCAGCACCAAGTGCAGTACCTGGCACAAACGAGGTGCCAGCACAAAACTGGAATGAATATGGGGCACCTGGGTGGCTCAGTTGGTTAAGTGTCTGCCTTCAGCTCAGGTCATGATCTGAGGGTCCTGGGATCGAGTACCACATTGGGCTTCTCCCTCAGCAGGGAGACTGCTTCTCCCTTCCTCTCTGTCTGCCACTCCCCTTGCTTGTGTTCTCTCTCACTATCTCGCAACATCAAATAAGTAAATAAAATATTAAAAAAAAACTGGACTGAACAGAACTGGACTGTCATCTTCTGTACCTACCCACGATGAGAAAAGGAGAAGGGAGAAAAAACAACTATATGCACGACCAAAAATATTAGTGTCATTGAGGCAGATTTGACTTTTGAAGTAAGAAAGAATTAAAGTGAATCCACATAAGGTTTGGGCAGGGGCCTCACCACAGGAACACTTCCTCTTTTGGTTCTGATCTCAGATCCAAACAAGAGCACAAGCCTTCAAACAGAGGTGCCACGCCTTCAACAGATATGTAAAGGTCTAGGAAAGTCTAGAAAAAGGGGGAAAAGTGCTTTCCCTCTGACTTTCCTATTTCTTACTAATAATAGTATTATTCTGTTAGCAACGGCTAACATTTATGGAGTAGTGACTATGTGCCAGACACTATGCAATAATCTTCAAATAGGTTATCTTAGCCTCACCACAACTGTACAAAATAGTTATCCCTGTTCTATAGATGGGGAACCTGAAGTCAAGAATGGATCAGCAACTTGCTCAAGATGACACACCAGTGAGTGGAGGCATCGGGACTTAAGCCCAGTGAGTCTGGCCTTGAACCTGTACAGACTACCCCTCAGCTGGACATGTGGTCTGGCTGCTGGGGCACGGGCTGCACTAAGCCAACCACAGTCTCCTTACCTACTGCAGTGGCTCTGGCCTCAGCAGGGCTGCACTCTAAGCAATACGTTTACAGACAACCCCCAGCATTTTAAATGTAACGTCTTGGTGGTGGCAGGGCAGGGGCATGAACTTATGGCACAGGCATGAGCACATGGCCTGGCTCCATGCGCTCTGTGCTCACAACTGGAAGTCAGTATTTCTGGGCTGAAGGGCTCATTTCTGCATCTTTTTTTTTTTTTTAAGATTTTATTTATTTATTTGACACAGAGAGAGAGATCACAAGTAGGCAGAGAGGCAGGCAGAGAGAGAGAAAGGAGGAAGCAGGCTCCCTGCTGAGCAGAAAGTCCGATGCGGTGCGTGATCCCAGGAAAAAGGCAGAGGCTTAACCCACTGAGCCACCCAGGGGCCCTCGTTTCTGCATCTTAAAAATGGCACAGGGGCACCTGCGCTCAGTCGGTTGAATGTCCGACTCCTGATTTCGGCTCAGGTCATGATCTCAGGGTTATGAGATGGAGCTCTGTTTTCAGCTGGGAGTCTACTTGAGTTTGTCTTTCTCCCTCTGCCCCTTCCCCGCGCTCTCTCTCTCTCAAATAAATAAATCTTTTTAAAAAATGGCACAAATTTACTTATTGCTGGTTTTTGGCATGGGGAAGGGATGACAGATCTTTCACTTGCCAGATTAAACAATGAAAGGATCCCAGCATGCTAGGGATCATTCCCAGATAACCGGCTCCTGGCTAGGTCTCACATTTGCTTTACTGTAGTGAGTCTCTTGCTTCCAAATTTATTAAAAGGGCAGATAGACAGTAATATGCTACCTACTTCTAAGATAGCCTTCGGCATACCCAATAGTTTTAATAATACTAATAGCTGACACTTATTGAACCCTTAGTGCCCACGGGGCACTGTGCCAAGCATTTCATCTAAATGATCTCACTGAATCTTCAGAGCTATCGAAAAAGGTAGGTGCTGTCATGATCCCTATTTTATAGATGAGAACACTGTTTAGAAATGTTATATGACTTGCCCAAGGTCACACAACTAGAAAGGGATGGAGCTACACTTAAACCCAGCTTTGCTGGTTTCTAGAGCATGCTCCCTTAGCCACCAAACCCTTCCATGTGGCCCTCCACTCAGCTCCGGATATCCTCTCTAACCTGCACCCTGCAAATCTATCCTTGGGCTGGGTGAGTGACGGTGAGAGCAAGGGCTGTTTAGCCCCTTCTCTGCGTCAGGAAAACAACTTCAGTACCCGTTCCAGTGGTCACGTGTGTGCGTGACAGCAGTAGTGGTGACAGTCAAGAGTGGCATCTTTCCATCCGAAGGACACAAATCCTCAGACCTCCTCTCTATCCTGGGTCTATGTCCTAAGCCATGGGACCCTCCTTTGCTCTGGTGAGCCTTTCTGGACCTCATAATGTATGCAAGAGCTTCTACCCCATAATTAATTTAAACAGTGAACAGGTCAAAACAATGGATTAATAAATTGATGACTAAATGTATCTATATGAGTCCTACTACAGGGAGAAGGCATTTATAGAATGCCCACACAGGTGACATTCTAGGTTCTGCAAAATGCTAATTATCATCTTTCCCTCCGGCCTCCCTTCTCCCAAATCAAGGGCAGTTTTAAGTCCTTCATCCTTTTTATTAGCTTGACTCATTTTAGAAGTCTCTGGGATTCATGATGGATGATCACCACCCTGAGTCTTAATCAGAAGTCCAAACACATACTCAACAGTAAGTACCTCCTTGCAATTTCTCAAAGACCAAGTAAAACCTTGTGTCATCTTCAAAGAACTCAATCAGCTCCAAAATGTTCCTTAAATAGGAAAAAATAGGAGGAAAGGGAAAAAAAGGGAAATGGTATTATATATTAAAGCCCACTTACAAATATACAATGAAAAAAATATACAATGCCCTGTAGCAGGGCAGAAATCAACCTGAAATCAGAATGCTTATTAAAAACCCATGTCTGAGAAGTAGCCAATGGTGTTAGCAAGACTCAGGTCACCTTATCTTTCCATAATGTTCAGTCTCTGGAGTTTTCACCAAGTCTGTGCTGTCAAACCCCAACCCTAAAACCCACTAGGTAGAGTTATAAAAAAGTCCCGGTCACATTAAACTGAATAAAATCTGCAGCCGACTGGAAGCAATTGCGGCTAATAACACTGAATAGTAGGTGTGTGTCCTGGAGGCAAGCAGCAAATAATTACTTGCCCTCCCTCTTGCCCATAAATCACGGGGCAGTATTTACATTGCCTGGAGAAAATGGAAACATCTGTCAAATAGACTTGGGGCCTAACGTGGGCACGCTAGACCCTAACTGCTAAGCGCTGCTTAATGAAACGGCCACATTCCCGGCCGCCGTAGCACTTGTGGCCTTCCCCGGTGAGCACTCTCTGTCTGCCTGAGCATTACCGTGCTCTGCCAACAAGGTCGTCTTGTAACTCAGGAGGGAAGCCACCGGCCTGGATATCGGAGGTGTTGGGGTTTTTTTTTCTTTTAAAGAACGAAATAAACCAAGTAGAGGCTCTGATGCTCAACTCAGAAGCTGCAGGGCTGAAAATAAAAATCTGTCCCTCATAAAAAAATGCTGACCACTTTGGGAGACGCCAGGCTTTTACTAGTGTGAAGGCGTCCAAATAAGATGACTAAAATGGCCTGATTTGAAAGAAGATTGTGGAGGCAGCCCGGAGTTAAATCAACAGCAGCCCCCATCCTCCAAGCTTAATGACAAAGCCATCAATATCTGGCCGCTGGCTCCCCGCTGACCCTGCTGTGTAGGGAGGCAGAGGGGGAAGCAGAGTCTTAGAGGTGACCCTGATTTAAAGCCACCGCGGGAGAACCACTCATTTGGAGCTGGTGGTGAGGCGGCTGAGGAGGGGCGGGAGGCCACCTCGGCCTAGTGGGCCTGCAGAGTACTGGAGCGGGCTTCCGGAGCCTGAGTGGTGGCTGCACATCCACTAACATGCTGGGTGCGGGACACAGCCAGTACCCGTGCTAGCTCACACTGTCCTCATCTAGTCACAAAAGCTGGGCCCGAACAGTGTGTACTGGGTAACCCTCAGTCAGCCTTGTTCCCCAGGGCACTTGAAGGAGGGAACCCCATCTTCTCCCAGCCCCTCATTCAGAGGGCTCACTCTTCCAATTTGCCTGGGTTGTTATTCACAATACTTCAGCCTGAACAGAAGCAAAGGCTGCAGCTGCATCTCCTCTCCCCACTCTCTTAAACATGGAAAGACAGAAGGAATCCCCTACCGTTGTGGCCAAGGCACGTGAGCTAAATGCTGGGGTCGGAGGTGGTGAGAAATGACCTCTTCTGCAGCTAAGCATCCCCCCAAGAGAAGCAGCAAGTAACCCAAGACTGCACTCACTTGTTTCCTTGACACTGATAGAGCGTCTCTACCTCTCGAAATACCCGACTCCGGCTGTGCCCTGCTTGTTTTTCGATGATCTGTGGAAAGAATAAAATCTGTTATACCCACCTGACCTTGAAACACCTCTCGGCAGGAGCCCTCTGGGCAAATGCAAGGCCCAATTCAGCCCACGTCTGGTTTCAAGCACAAATGTGGAATAGACCTTGGTGACACAGGCGCTGTGACTCCGCCAGCAGCACAGGAGACCGACCGGAGGCTGTCCAGCCTGGCTGAGGCCTATTTTGACTCTGGCTAAGCAAATGCTGTGGAAGTCTATGGGGACACCGAGGCAGCCAGCAAGAAGACACAGAACTACCTCTACCTGGCTCCCACCTCAAGGGCATTTCTTCCTGTTGTAAGGGTGAGATTTACAACCCCCACCGAAGGATCTTCCAGGGCGGGAGGAAGAGCAGTGGGGCTGGAGGAGGCAGCAGAGAGGAACTAGAGCTCCAGTACCCGGCTCAGACCCCACCCCAGCAGCTCTGCCGAGAACGCGCCCTTTGGCAGGCACTGTACTAAGTAAGTCAGATACACAGTCTCGGTTCTTAACAACATAATCCCGAAAGACAGGAAGAGGTCAAACATTTTGCCCACAGCTTGATAAGTGGTGACAGGGTTGGCATCCAAGCCCAGCGCTGCCTTCAAAGCCCTCGCTATCCTACCTCTATCTATGTTCCATCCAGCTTCTTTCAGACAACCTAGAGACATTGTCTCCCATGTATATACCTGGAGATGCTTGGCAAGCAGGAACTGAAGGCATGGGTGAGCCAACAGATGAGCAGGTGGTTTAAGCAAGGACTGGCTAACTCTGTACATCTCCACGGACCCATCAACAGCCCCAGACCATTGCGAGTAGAGTCTGGCGGCAAGTGTTCTGCAGAGCTGGCTCTGCCTTATGGCCCCACGTGCGGAGTGGGCGGCACAGAGGATAACACCCTTCTCCTTTGTTCCCAGACTGCTGTGTAGAATACTTCAAACCACTCCCATGTGTTGCAGCATAAACGCCCATGACCAGGTCTAATTTTCTATACAATTCCATGTCTGGGAGTAAACCACGGTGGGCCCACATTCTAAGCAGTCTGAGAAGTGTAGAGCCGGGGCACAGAAGATCTCTAACTTGTTCATTTACCTAGCATTTCAGATCAAAGTCAGGAAGAACCTTCTAGCAGGCAAGCTCTTCAGCAACGGCATTATTTTCTCTGCATAAGTAATGGACTCCTGCTATCAGAGGTCGGGGAGCAGAACAGGGACAATTATTTGAGGAGATTTGGAAGAAATTCAGGACCATCCTGAAGTTCCATTTTAACCCTGAGACTCTAGGATTCATCATTTGGATGCCTATAGGGAAGGCCTAATAAAATAAAATATTGTGAGGGCATGCTGAGTGAAGTAGCCCGTTTTTAGGGAGCTTCCAAAGGACAGGAGAGATATGAGATGTGGGCTGAATTGCTCAAATCAAAGAATTACAAAGCCAGGGTTTGTGTTTGCACCAAAAATGCCCAGGGGCACAGAGGGCCAGGTTTTCCTCTTATGATCCAAACCTGAAGAAATAGGTCTGGACAGATGTATAAATGTCCCCAAACCTTTGAAAATCAACTGATATTTGTAGCTTATTACTACACTTAAGCATATTTTTAAAAAATTACTTGTAATTTATACTCAAGTTTCCAAAAAGGAATTGAGGTAGTACTTTTTGTTACCATATGAAGCAAAACTCCAGCAAAAAAGGGAATGTGACTTAGCAGAAGTATTCTCCTTTATTAATCCATAGCTGGGACTATGGCCAGTTGGTTAAAAGAAGAAACACTTCTTTCAGGAGCTACTTTGGCTGGGCTTGCCTGTATGAGGCAGTGCTTAGACCTGAGGGCTCAGGTAGATATGAAATACATTTGACTTGCTTCCTTGGATTTAATGAGACCTTGTTTCTAGATCAGTGATTCCCAAACTTTGGTGGGTGTAAGAATCACTGGCGAACGAGGTAAAAACACAAAGACCCAGGCCCTACCCTCTATCAAGAAAACTGGGTCTCTGTGCTATTAGCCGTCTAGATGATTCTGATCCATGCTGAACGTAAAGCAGCCCCACATCAGGGCTTCTCCAGCTTCAGCAAGCGTCAGAACCACTTGGAGATCTGGCTAAAATCATATTGCTGGGCCCATCTCTGGTTTCTGACTCAGTAGGTCTGGGATAGGGCCAGATAATTCATACTTCTGACAAGTTCCCAGGCAATGCTGATGCTGCTGGTGCAGGAACCACACTTTGAGAACCAGTGCTCCAGATCCATCTCTTCCTCCGTGTGGAGCTGGCAAACAGAAGCACAGACAGGGAGAGTGAGCCACTGCGAGGTCATGCCACAAGGAGCCACCTCTCCTGCTCCAAAGCTGATACTCAGCCCTCATTATGATACCATACATCACTTTACAGCATTGTGTAACTGGTAGTGTTTCTACTTCTACCAGTTCATTTTTATTTTCATCTTCATAACCACTCCCCTGAAATAGGAAAGCTAGGTATTGTTATCCTCATTTTAGAGATGTGGCAACTGAGGCTTAAGGAGATTTAGCAACTTGCCCAAAGTCAGGTAGTAGTTTGGTAAAACAGAGATGTGGGTATGCCTTCTCATTCCAAATCTGGTTGTCTACTCCCTGAAGTTTACTCCATTTTTCAGAATAAGACACAGCAGCTTACTATCAGCCAGGTATGGTTCTAAGCACTTTACATATATTCTATCCCTATGTCAATGCTCTAAAGCTTCTATGATTATACCCATTTTACAGGGAAGGAAACTGAAGGACAGAAGTGTTAAGTAACTTGCCCAATGTTACACAGCAAGTAAAAAGAGAAACAAAGAGTTGAATCCAGTGAGTCCAGCTTCGGAGTCCTCATTTTTACTGAGTTGCCATATTGCATACTATGAAGCGTATCTAGCTTAGGCCAGCTAGGAGTGACTGCGTGCGAAGTTAAGTCTGGCATCCAGAGGAGACACTCACTTTGACCGCATACTCTTTGCCATTCTGCAGGCTCACAGCACCTTGAACTTTGGCATAGGCTCCTTCTCCAAGCAATTCAGAGGTCAGCTTGTACATATCTAGAGGTGAAATGGGTGACAGGAATAACAAGGTAAGTCATGCCTTTGCAAGCTCAGATGGAAAGAAGAGCTTCTATCACTCAGCCTCCCTGGTGCAACAGCGAGGGCATACACGGTGACTCTGCAGCGCTCAGTGACAAGGAAGACCATTAACTCTTCCCGCCATCGCAGGACTCAAGTTTCTCAACAACTAGAACACATCAAAGGCATCCTGTTCTTCATTTTAGAGATGAGGTCAGTGGAAGAGTTTTAATTTGGCCCACGTGTCCCGAGCACCTACTATGTGCCACACAACATATTAAATTCATAATAGGGACAGAATGAGGAATAAAATATAGTTCCTGCCCTTTGACGGTCACAGTCAGGTAGGGAAGACAGACATGCAGACTAGTGACCCCAGAATAAACCAGGCAGTAGTAAGTACTATCATAAAAGGACAAGACACAGGACAAAAAAACAAAACAAAACAAAACAAAACAGCAGAGGGAAGGAAAGGTTAAATCTGTGTAGGGAAACTAAGGGATCATCACAGAAGGAGTGTGATTTCAATGGACATCATGACTCATTTGTGGAGCACCTGCTCTGTGCCCAGCTGTGCTTGGCACTGGTGATACAAAGGGGAACGAAGCACTGTTTCACTGTGTACTACACACAGAAGTGACTGGAGGTTTCTGAGAAGTTTCCAGAAGTCAGTCACAGGAAATAGGAGACAGAAGTAGGATGCAAACAGATGCCTTGAGGTTTTTAGGGTGCTGACTCAGGGTGGTTCTCACAGAGTAATAGGCTGGGGTGAAAGAACATTTAGGTGACCTGCCCAAGCTCACAAATGGCACAGACTCTTCGAGCCCCTTTCAAAGGAAGCCACAGCTCCATCATGGTCTCTGTCAAGCTGACCTCTTCCTCCCCTGACCTCCACTCTTCAGTTCTTCCCTCTTGAGGCAGCCCAGCATTTAAACCCACAGGGTGAGCAAAACACTTTTAAACCATGAAATTAGATTTTATCACTCCTAGCGTGAAGGCCCATAATTGCACAAGCCACCCACGAATAACAGGAAATACTCTCATGTTCACAGAAAGAGCAAGGCCTGTTGATTTGGAAACTCCTCTGAAGATCTGGAGACTTTTGTCCATCCCTCCATCCCACCCCTTTACACATATATCTACTGTTTAAGTTAAAGACAAACAAAGAGACAAACCCTACTCTAATTACCTTCTTGGGTCCCGCAGCTGTTTATAAGCGTGCACACTGTTGTTTCTAAGTGTTTTAAATGACATGCGTCTCTGGCAATGGACACTTTGGTATTAGCCTTTTGTGCACCTCAGGATAGGTTGGTGGTTGGAAGCCCAATATCTCTGATTCATAAAGGGCTTGTTACTAGAACCACTGTACAAAACAACTGATTCACTAGTCTGTCTGCGATGTTGCAAAGAGGGACCATGAGGGGACGCTCTTTTAGGTCTCACAGTGAAAGAAACACCATAGGTGAAGGGGGCGCGTCACTCCTGGAGTAGCTACTGACGCTTTCAGTCCCTTGGAGAAGTGTGTGATGAGTCACTTCATGCCATCGCATGCCCAGCGATGACAGGACCAGCGCTGAGCTGGTGCCTCCCACAGTGTTCAAAATCTTTGATGATCCAACATCGTATCCCCTGAACACAGCATGCACTCTTAAAGTGGAGTCAAACTCATACAGCACAAGTAGCTGTGATTTCTCGAAGTCAAATCCTCTGTTTCTAGAAGATTTAACTTTCACTTGGAGCTGTGGCCTTGGTGTTCTCTCATCCTTTTACAAGGTCGTTCTACCTCTCAGCAGCCCCTCCAGGAACAGTCAGGGCAAAGAGCACATCAGATGAGGGCCGAAATGCACCTAGCAATCTCACTCCATATACAAGTCTGATGGATCGGTCTTTCTAATCCCCGAACAGGTGCTGAAACCATTCAGACCGCACCATCTGAGAGCTCTGTCATCCCACCTTTCACCCTCCTCACACAGATCAGCACAAGCTGACTCTCAGATACACACGATCAGAGCTAGACCTGTGGGCTATCTGGATGCTCCTCCCATGCTCGGGAAGCCACAGGCCCAGATCTGAGGAGTCGTGTGACCAACCTTCAAACTTCCCTGGTAAGGAGTCAGTGGCCCGGGCCTTCCGCTTCTTCTTTTTCCTCTTGTCACCCTCTGCAATGGGAAGGGGTTCACTGCTGCCCATCTCTGGGAGAAAAGAGATGTAAGGGAAATATCACTATACTGATCAAGGCATAAGTTCACCCAGAAGCAGGGGGACCCAGGAGCTTTACACTGATGGTTTTTAAATATCTGTGAGGACTATTGATTTGTTTGACCCAGGAGGCAAAACTAAAGGCAAAGCCATTATTGGAGATCATTAACTGTGGAAAGGAACTCAGACAGACAGGCTAGATTAAAAGAGGATAGCAGAACCTACTTTAACCAAGCTCATTAGCACGTGGATTTAGATCTGCCACCAGTCAAACTGTAGTTCCCAACAAAAACAATGAATCCACAAGCCGAATCCCACCTGTGACATCCTCCTGCCTCAGCGCCAGAAAGGCAGGGCCAAGGGAGCTAAGCAAGGGCGTGAGCTTGGGAGGGGCCCAAGCAAATGAAATCATATGCTCAGTGACATCCGAGAGGATGTGCGCAGGAATTTACAGGCCTTCAGTGGAGTTGCCCCTGGGGGTACAATAGGACAGGGGACGCCTTTGAGGATGGCCCTAAATTACTTCATGTCTGGGAACACACATCTGAGTTCCTATGCAACTCTGAGCATCCTCTCCCCTTCCCCTTAGCTCCTTATTTGAGAGGATGCAGTTAGGGTCTACTCATTAGTCTGAGAAGTCTACAGCTGACAGGTCTCCCCTGGGCTGCTGGATGAGGTCATTTACTGCAAAAACATTATTATCTCTCACTGGCCAGCAGGTTAAAGGGAGGCTCCCCACGTTAAATGGCGGATTTGTGAGGCAGACATTTTGACACTGGGCACGCCAGGCAGGAAAGGGTAGGGATGGAAAGAATAAGCAGGAGACTGAGAGGGGGAAAGAGAAAGGAGGAACAAGGAACCAGGACTCAATCACGGCACTGTTTCTAAGACACTCTAGTAAGGGCCTTCTCCTGTTAAAGATAAATTACTTATAGAACATGTCATGCCCCTGATCCAGAGCGGAGCCTTAATACTCTTTGCCTGCAGTTAGAAATAATAAGATTTCTCTGAAGTCTCTGGGTCTAAATCCCCACCAGGGTGATTAAACCTTTACATCCTTCTAAAATAGAGGCACTCGGGTGCTGGTGGGGCATTCAGTGTGAGAGACTTTTACACCAACCTTCAATAAACACAGGCTCTGACTTGTTGGGTTTTTTTTTTTTTTTTTCTAAGAGATTTTGAAATGGAAGCTGGCTCTTTGCCCATTGAGGGGAAAGGCCCACTTTCTTCTCAGAGGACCCCGGCTGAACACGGTCAGAAAAATGGCAAGTCTGCTCGGGAAGATTGATTAGGGCCGATGCATGTCTCTACATTGTTCTCAGGAGCAAGTACACACGGCTATTAGGAGAGAGCACACAGAACAGTGGTACTTTCCACTATAATCCAGAAAGCCTGGTTAGACAGCCAAGTGTCTGACGGCTCGGTTTAGGTGCATTCTTCCTCCCATTTCTGGATCTGATGACAGCAGATTTTTCAATTATACGTTAGAGAACGGATAAACACGTGGATAAAAGGAATCCACAGAGGATCTCAAAATATTACTTGGCCAACAGCTTCAAGCACAAGATCTATCTGGGGGTGGCAACCCACTATGAATTCAAAGAATCCAACTTAAATATCGGCACCCGATATCTGCCCTCACCAAGCTAAGTTAATGGGAAAAAGCTGCCCAACACAGTGAGAAATTCTACAGAAATGAAACTCAGGGGGCTCTTCAGGAGCCCAGGGAGGGGTACTGGCCACTGGGACAGCAGGCTGAGGAGGAGGGCTCACTGTCCCTCTTGCCCTTCCCTGTGTGCAGTCCAGGGCCAATCCATTTTCTTATCAGCGCTGAGGGGCAAGTGCAGAGCGGACCAATTTTGGATTCCCTTCTCCTTCTCCTTCCTCTGCCTGCTCTCAGATGGAGGAGGGCCTGAAGACAAGCAAAACAGCCAAAAGGCAAGCAATGCGGAGGAGCAGCAAGAGAGCTGGCAGCATTATAATTCACAGGGGATGCTCAGACATACTTACGACTCGAGCTAGAAAACCCTGTTAGCGGCAATTTATACTCGGTTTTTACCACAGCAGGGCAGAGGGAGCCTCTTGTGGAAGAATCATACCTCTGAGCACCGCCGCATACTCAATATTAGATTTTATGGCTTCACACACAAAAAGATAGAGTACCTGGTCTATTCTGCATGGATTTCAATGGAAGAGGGCACGCCAGAAGGGACAAATGGTTAAGACTTTCCTTGGAAACAGAACTTGTTGAAGGAGAGTTGTTTTTGAAACTAGGAAGAAAAAAATGTAGGACGGCAGTGAAGTGAAAAAAGAAAAAACAAAAAACAACCATGCTTAACTTCCCTGTTGACACGGCGGGAGGGGAGAGGGAGAGGGAGAGGTGTCATAATCTTACCAACAGGTTGATAGGTTCCCCACCTGGAGCCTGTCTATAATCTCTATTCTATTGCAGACAGTCCACTGGCAGGGTCTGGGGGACCTTAATTTATTAAGCATGCAAACATTGGATGGAAGTTTCCTTGGGGTGTAAGTCTCCATAATCACGCTGGTCCTTGGCTCACCTCTTTCCCTTGGCCAGAGACGTCCTCTCAGCCACTACAACCCAGCTCAAAAGTCTCTGCTCCCCACACCCTCAAAGTCTCCACCCGCCTGAATGAGTTCAGTTCGTACAAACACTCTGGAAATCAGGTACTAGGCAAACAGATGGCTTTACTGCACAGAACTAACAGTGCTCCTCCTCTGCTCCCGAATACCCGGCCAGAAGTTCTACTTGGAGCACTGATGGGATCTGGCCTTGAGCTCTCTCCCTGCAGTGTTCGTAAAGACCAGACTGTTGCCTGTTCATCTCTGCATCTCCTGTAAGCCATGGTACAGTGTCAGATCCACATCAGCCATCAGAAAATGGGCCCCGAAATGAAATGTTAGGAAATGATGCGCATACTTAGTGTTAGGTGTTGTGCCTGACACCCAGGCCCTTTCGGTTAACAAGTGCACGCACTGAAAGAAATGCGGGTCCACCTCTGCCCTACAGACTGTGCAGAGTGAGGCTAGTCCATTCTATGAGCTCTCTGACAAACTCTTCCTCAGAAAGAGCCCTGTGGCCTGGAAGGTTCTTGTCCTAGCCAGAAGCGTGGTCTCTGCTACAGGATTGGGCAATGTGTTTATGATTTCAGAGGCGGGAACGAGCACTTCTTTTAAGTTTTCAACAGACCCCAGCTGGTGTGGAAGCTCCCAGTACTTCTACGGCCTCCAGCCCTTACCTTCCCCTTGGTCAGGGCTCGGTGGTCTACCATCCGTGTACTGGTGGAGGTGGAGCTGGAGAGGAAGCACAGTGTTGACAGGGAAAGGACATGAGCTTGGCATCAGGAGACCAAAGAGAAAGTCCCAGCTCAGATATTACTAGACATAGTACCAAGGCTATGCCAAGTTACTCTGCTTCTTAGAGTCACAGCCTCCTCATCTACAGAACAGGTTTTAAACTAGTATCTGCCCCTTCCAGCAACCCTGTGAGGACCCAATGATATACTTGATATAAATGTGCAGGAAAAACATATGTGTACGGGGCGCCTGGGTGGGTCCGTCGGTTAAGTGTCCAACTCTTGATTTCAGCTCAGGTCATGACCTCAGGGTCTTAAGATCAAGCTCTGCATTGGGCTCCACACTCAGTGGGGAGTTTGCTGGGGATTCTCTCTCTCTCCCTCTCCCTGTGCCCCTCCCGCCCTACTTGTTGGCTCTCCCTCTCTAAAATAATGAATGCATCTTAAAAATTATGAGTATGCATAGGTATGTAGACATACTAGACAGAAATACACAAAAATGTTAATACTACAACAATTTGAAAGAGAGCCTAGCATATGCCAGGCACCGTGCTACATATTTTATGTACATGACAGTAATTCTAATTCTTACAATAATTCTAATTCTTACAATAATCCCACAAGGTAAATATTTTGCTATATTTAAGGCAAGGAAACTGAGGCTCAGAGGTTAAACAATCTACCAAACACCAAACATCTAGTTAGTGGTTTAACTGGGCTTCAATCTCAGTGCTGCCTTTCGTGTCCAGGACATTTCTAATCTATAGTAGTTTCCTCTGTGTGATGGGGTGATTTTTATTTTCTGCTTTACATTTTTCAGCATTTTCCAAATTTTATACAATGAAATGTGTTACTTTTTAATGTTGTTATTATTATTTTAGCCAAGTTTTATTTTCAATAAAATACACGATACTCTTTCTCCAACACACACTGGAATTCAGAATCTGATTATATACAGAGTATTTAAAATCATATCTAGATTTCTCTGCACTGAAATTCGACAATAAGTGAGGAAAAAACGTTTCCGGAATATTGGCACCTGGAAAACAACACACACTCTTTTAATTTTTATTTTTTTAAATGCTATATTTTTTTTAAAGGAAAAACTTTGTAAAAAAACAAAATGATGTAATGAGACTGCAAGAGACCAGTTTAAATCCTGGCTCCCACCACGGAGTGCGCTCGGGCAGCTTGCTTAGCTTCCCTAAGTATCAGTTTCTTCATATACTGAGAGAGGTCAGAGTGAGGCCTGGGCTGCTTGCACCACAAGGCTATGGTGAGGGTCAAAGAAGACATGGTGTGAAAGTGCTGATGACTTACTCATTCAACAAATACTGTATTTATTGGGCACCTATGGATTGTCCAGTGCTAGATGGTAAGACTATGAGAGAAGACATAGTCTCTCTGCCCTTAGAAATTTAAATCCACTGACATATAAAACAGTTTCAGTAGAGTGGGACAAGGGCCATGTGACAGGCAAGTACCAGGTGCTGTGAAGCAGAAGACAGGCATCAAATTCAGTTTAGTAACCAGAGGAAGGGACAGCTAAGCTGCCATCTGAAGGATGAGGGAACTGGCCAGGGTGGGGCCTGGGGAGAAGGACAGAGAAAGAGCATGTGCTAAGGCTGAAGAGAGCAGGCATGGCTGGTCAGTGTGAATTGGGGAGAATTCCCAGAGCTGTTGAGGTGGGGGCCGAGGAGTCTCACCTGGTGGGCCCGCAACAGCAACAGCTATTTCCAACAGGTAAGTACCCTTCATCCACTGTTCTCCCCACAGGTGACCCCTAGGCCCACCTCTGAAAGAACTGTCACTTCTCCAGAGTCTTAGGAGCCACACTGCCCCCAAAAGCAGCAGATCTGTTCTCCATGTTTTGGTGGAGCCTACAGAGAACTGAGTAGCTCCAGCATCTGGAATGTGATACCCAAGATGATCGCTTTCCCTCTAAGAACATGACTTTGCTGGTTAACTCAGCTCAGCAAATGTAGTTCATGTTCCTCTTCCGAGTACTCGAGAGTTCTTTTCAAAGTCCATGGTTCCCTCCTCTTCCCAACGTGTAAGATTTATTTCCCTCAGTCACAAAGGCTTTCTAGAGAAGGAACAGTGGTGACGACAAGCTGAGGAGTACAACTATCTGTGTGGTGTTGCCTCCTCAGTCACCAGCTGGTGGAGGCCCTCAAATGATGGAGAACTGATAAAAGGAAAGAAAGAGGGCATACACTCTTAAGGAAGAGCCAAGACAGAAATGGGAGGTCAAGGAGGCAGCAATCAGGAGGGGCCTGGGAAGACAGAGCCCCGACACTGACTTCTCTGAAGGAGTAGTACTAATAGGCGCAGTGCTACCAGCTACAGTACGCATACCCACACCATGCTCACCAGATGCCAGGCAAAAGGTCCTAAGCATTTCACAAACACATTTTACATGTCCTAACTCCTTTCATCTTCACAACTCTAGGAGATAAGAATAATTATTATCTACATCTTACAGATGAGGAAATTGAGGTACAGAGAAATTAAGTAATTAATTTGCCCCGGAGTCACACAGCTAGTAAGTGGCAGAGCTAGGATTTAAATTGAGAGAGACTGGCTTAAAATTCAAGCCTTTAACTATTATGTTACTAGTAGTATATTTAATATTATTTCATATATCTAATATTATTAATATTCTATTGAGCTATTCATGCTGGAAGGCAGGAGGGGTAGCCCAGTCAGAGTTAGCCAGGAACCAACAAGAATGCTTTTATTTAGAACCTTTAGCACAGAGCTTCCCTACTGAGGCACTGTGAATGAGATATTGATTCTCTCACCAGGCTGAAGAACATCATTTTCTGTGTGGGCACTTTCTGCGTGTGCTCTAGCTGACACAAATACAAAGGCATTATCACCACATTACCATTATTATATTAATCTGAAATCTGATTAAACAGAAGTTTCTTTGTCTTACTTGGAGATAACAGTATTTTGCGTTTTGGCATATTACGGAGGATGAGCTACAAACTAGTCCAACCACATGATTTCGTGGCAGTTCTGGTATCAAGCACAAGCCTACATTCTTCTTCTCTCTGACGTATTAGTTGGTTGATGTCATTTCTGATGGTATCATTACTACATAGGGGCCAAGGTCAAGGAAAAAGTATACTCAAACAGAAGCTACTCATATTTAAGGCACGATGGCTGAAAGGAGCCACCTGTGCAATCAGTTCACTCAAAGGCCAGTCTGTGAGTGATTCCGAGGGGCTAGGCTATTTCACAGGTTTTTCCCAAGAGTCCTGTGTGTAGTGAGGCTGGTCAGCGTTAGGCAGACTGCGGCATCTCACTCAACTTCGGGGAGAGTGGGCAGTCTGAGGCCCACTAGGGTGCCAGTAGGGCGGTGAGTCACAACAGGCCTCAAACAAGGCTGGGACACCAAGATTTCCAGAGGGAAAAGGTCTGGAGTTAGGCCCATCTTCTTCCTCCATTCTGATTCTGGGATCACAGAAGCCTTCAAAGCTGTCACCGGCATCTCCTGGCAGAAGGAATGATCAGAGGAAGGATGGAGCGGGTAAAGGAAGTGTGTGCTTTACAAAGAGTAAGCGAGAGGGAAGGACTGTATTTGTGTGAGCAAGAGGACAGAATAAAAAGCTGAAAAAGGCAGGCTGAAGTCAGATCACCCAAGCTTATTAATGTGACCACAAGGCCCTCCAACGTCTGATCCCCAGCTGCTCCGCAGCCTCACCAGGCCTCAGTCATTCTTCCAAGTAAAAATGAAGGGTGGCTAGTTCAGCTCGTCATTCAAACAATCCTGCAAATGCTTTTCTCTGAGACAACCACCATACTTTGGCATGCACACAAGTGCTCTATAAGCCTTTTCACTTTGTCACACAGAATATTAAAAAGATGTGTACTCGAAGGTTGACATTAATTTAAATTAGCAATTTTACTGCTCCATCAGCATATTCTTTTTTTATTTTTTTAATTTTTAAAATTTATTTTTTTAAGATTTTATTTATTTATTTGACAGAGAGAGACACAGCTAGAAAGGGAACAGAAGTAGGGGGAGTGGGAGAGAGAGAAGCAGGCTTCCCGCTGAGCAGGGAGCCCGATGTGGGGCTTGATCCCAGGACCCTGGGCTCATGACCTGAGCTGAAGGCAGACCCTTAAGGACTAAGCCACCCAGGCGCCCCAGGACATTCTTTAAAGACAAAAACAAAACAAAAACAAAACCCTGAGATGTAGCAAAGAGGAATACCATGACTGCAAGGACAGTTCAATCCGGCCACTGCCTTGATTCATGCTAAAGTTCCAGCAGTTCTACGCACTGTTGCTCTACAAAAACAAGTAACATTTTAGTGCTGTTACAAAAATAGTTTTGACTTGGTAGATACCCTGAAAAGGTTTCCAGGACCCCCAAGGTCCGCATAGCCCACTTGTGAATCACTGCTCTAAGCAGTGGGGCGGGACTGGGCGGTGAAACTGGCTGCGATGTGCAGAAGCAACTGGAGGCTGGCTGGGGACTGGGAGAGCAAGGAGAGGCTACTGCAGCTGGCAGGAAGGCAAGGAAGGCCTGTAACTAAGGCAGGGATGGGAAGGAAGAGAAAGAGGTGGTGGGATGAAATCTTGGAGGTGGAACTAGTGGAACTGGCATTAGTCTTGCCGAGGGACTGGAGATGGTGGAAGAGTCAGAGATGCCCAACCTCTTTGAAGGAAGGGACGGGGCCTCTTATCTCTCTGTCCCCTCTGCCCAGCAGAGAGCCAGCACAGAGGGGGACCTCAATATATTTTTATGAACTAAAGTCAGGTAACCAGAAGAGCACTGGCACCATTAAGGAAGGGGAGAATTCAGGAAGGGGAGCTGGTTGGGAATGGGGAGCGGGGAAGATGGTGTGTCGCTGGGAAGCCTCAGGTGAAGAAGGGTGACACACAGTAGCCAAGGAGTATAAAAGCTCACAGATCAGACTCAAACCATCCTCGCCCAACCGTCATTCGACCCCATCTCCAACTAAGGCATTATTTCTAACCTGCCAGGCATGATAAGAGCCACAGGCATTTAAGAACACTTCAAAAGAGCACTGTATATGTCACAAATACGGCAATCACAAATACGGCAAGTTAAAAAGAAAAACAAAAACCTGGAAAGATACATCTCAAGCCATTATTAACAACGGTTACTTTGGGAGAATGAAACTTGGGGGGGTATAGAATTATACTTTTCATACCTCTGTTGTGTTTGATTTTGTTATTTATGGCACAATTGTTTTACTTTCAATAATTACAAGTAAATAAATATGTTTTACTGACTGCACAATCTCCCTTTGACCTTCTCTGCCATTGTATTCTGGTAGAAATGTGCTCGTCCTTACTACGTAACTGTCTTAGGCACGCCAGAGAGCTCAGCTAATCCCAGCTGCTCACTGAACACCGAAATCTCCTACCCACCCTTTCCTCTGAAGTATCAGATAACTTCAACCCAAAGCAACCTAAAAGCTTAAGCAAAATGTGCATCCAATCTTACCTTGCCCAACTTCTGAGAAGTAAATCCTCTGTAAACTGAAATGAAATAATGAAATAATGCTCCTGTTGGAGGGCTGCTGTCTTCCAGCTACAGGAAATGTTTCAACAGTCTCTGGAGGTAGCAGGCATTCTTCACTTCCTGACCGGCTTTTGCTTCCTCTGGCTTCATGAAAATCTTAAAAAAGCAGAAATAGAAAAGATATAAAAATCTAACTTCTTTAAAATGAGCAGTGAAAATAAAGCACACCCTACATGTCCCCCAGCCTATGCATCACACCAGTAAGTAGATATATACAAGACCATCACAGATTTCCCATCTTTAAAATCAGGCACTTGAGCATTTGAAAATGCTGACACTAAGCATTTGAAGATGTAATGAGGGTCTGAGTAGAAGTTTTCAGATTCTCTTTCCGCTGTGGGAGTCCAGACGTGGACCTGGAGGACAGATCTGGACAGCTCTGTTCACTGAGGAGTGTCCTGCGGAAGGTAAAATCTGACACTTCTCTGTCATCCATGTTTTTATTCTATTTTTTTTTTTAAGATTTTATTTATTTGACAGAGAGAGAGATCACAAGTAGAGAAAGAGAGAGAGAGAGGAGGAGGCAGGCTCCCTGCCTAGCAGAAAGCCTGATGTGGGACTTGATCCCAGAACCCTGAGATCAGGACCTGAGCTGAAGGCAGAGGCCTAACCCACTGAGCCACCCAGGCAGCCCCTTTACTCTATTTTTTTTAAAGATTTTATTTGAGAGAGTGCATGCACAGGCGCATGTGCATAAGCAGGTGGAGGGGCAAAAGGAGAGAGGGAGAAACAGCCTCCTCACTGAGGAGGGAGCTCGATGTGGGGCTCGATCCCAGGACCCTAGGATCATGACCTGAGCCAAAGGCAGATGCTTAACTGACTGAGCCACCCAGGCGCCCCTGTCACCCATGATTTTAAAGATGAATGAACTCTGGCTCAATCTCTTAGTGGCCAGGTCCAGGTCTCATAGGCAGGAGGCAACAGAGCCAGAAAGATAGAGTAGATGCTGAGAGCAGCAGGTGGTATAACCATGAAAAAGGTTTTAAGCCCAATGCATAATTATTGCTAGTTTTCCATGTGATAATTTAATCTTCTATATGTCTACGGCGATTTTCAATCTTGCAACTCTGGCTATCATATGTCAAAGCTGATTTGCCAATTTCTCTACAAAATGAGTATCTATTTCCCCTCTTCCCCAGTGGAAAAGCTCTGAGCATGCAGTTTATTTATTTTTTTAATTAATTAATTAATTTATTTTTTAAAAAAGATTTTATTTATTTATTTGTCAGAGAGAGAGAGAGCACAGGCAGACAGAGTGTCAGAGGGAGAAGCAGGATCCCCACAGAGCAAGGAGCCCGATGCGGGACTCGATCCCAAGACGCTGGGATCATGACCCGAGCCGAAGGCAGCCGCTCAACCAACTGAGCCACCCAGGCGTCCCTGAGCATGCAGTTTAAATCTGAGTTCTGGGGCACCTGGGTGGCTCAATCAGTTAAGCGTCTAACTGCAGATCAGGTCAGGTCATGATTTCAGGGTCCTGGGATGGAGCCCTGTGTTGTGTGTGGGGGCTCCATGCTCAGTGGGCAATCTGCTTGTCTCTCTCCCCCTGCCTCTCCTCCCTCTCGTGCTCTCTCTCTCAAATGAATGAATAAAATCTTGAAAAAAAAATCTGAATTATGTGCTAACATAATTGTGCTAACATTTCTAAAATGGTCTTCTAACTGGAAGCCGGATATGTTTCACCAGGATCTCAAATCATGTGTCCCAAACTTGACTTATCCCAACCCCCATCCTTCCTCCTTTCCCTTCTTCTCTATCAGATTCTGCCACCCTGCCAGCTGCCCAGCCACAGATCATTTGAATCATTTCCACTATCTCTTTCTCCTCTAACCTCGTCATCCCAAATGCTCACATGCTCAGGTTTTCCCTCAGCCTGGTATGCTGCCTCTTGAAAAGAACACCTATTTCATCCTTCCGGGTTCCTCAGGAATTACTGAAAGTGATCCCACAAATTACAGCAGTCTCTAACCTTTTTCTATTTCACCCAGCATTTCATCACATCCATGGCACGCTATGATAATACACAGAGCTGGGTATTCACACACATACATGGCTCGCCCACTAGGCCATAAGATCCTCAAAGGCAGGGATGGATCTTTTTCATGTTTGTCTAGTATCTAACATAGTATCTAGCTCAAGAAGGGCTCTAGGAAATATCTGACTACATTATTTCATCCATAAAATATTTCTTTATTGTTCAATAGAGAATGTTAGCATACATAACTATTCTTCCTATCGTGCTTTTTATTCCCCAACAAATCTCTGTGGCCCAATGAAACTATTTCTAGGGCGCAGAGAAACTCAAGTTACACTCCCTCTCCTTAAGGCCACATTTCCAGGGACTACCTGGAACACCTTTGAACTACAACTCTGCCTTTAGTCTTGCCAGAGGTTCCATCTTATTGCCTATAGTAAGAGTTGGCCAATTTTTTTTTTCCACAAATAGCCTGATCGTAAATATTTCAGGCTTTCTCTATGTTGCATGATCTCTATTGTGACTACTTAATTTTGCCTTAATTTTGTAGAATGAAAGCAGCCATAGACAATATGTAAATAAATGATTGTGACTATGTTTCTATAAAGGCTAATTTGGATTTTCTTTCTTTGTCTTTCTTTTTAAATATTTTATTTATTTGCTTTAGAGGCAGAGAGACAAAGAGAGAGAGCGAGTGTGAGTGGGGTGAGGAACAGAGGGAGAGGGACAAGCAGACTCCGCACTGAGTACAGAGCCCAACCACAGGGCTTGATCCCACAACCCTGAGATCATGACCTGAGCCAAAATCAAGAGTCGGATGCTTAACAGACTGAGCCACACAGGTGCCCCTTTATTCAATCTATTTATTTATTTATTTGAGAGAAAAAAGAGAGTAAACACAGGAGCAGGGGGTGGGGGAGTGGCAGACAGAGAGGGAGAGGATCTCAAGCAGACTCCCTGGTGAGCATGCAGCTCAATGAGGGGCTCAGTCTCAGGACCCTGAGATCATGACCTCAGCTGAAACCAAGACTTGGACACTTAACCAAATGAGCCACCCAGGCACTGCTAGCATTTGGGTTTTAGATAATCCTCCCATCACAGATATTAATCTTCTCTTGAATTTTTCCCCCACCCATTTAGAAATGTAATACGTATTCTTAGCTTGCAGTCCATACAAAACAGATGATGAGTCAGATACAGCCTATAGGCCATGTTTGTCAACCCAGCTTATTTCCCCTCTTCACCAACTCCATTCCTTCCCTCCCCACAAGGCACACATGCACACAAACACACCTCCGTTTGCTCCCACCTCTAGCAAGTCTACGGTAAAAACAACCTTCAGAATTTATTTATGGATTTTGTGTTATTCTGCTGTTTAGAACTACTCAAGAGCTGCGGAGGTACAAAGTACACGGGCTTTTGAGCCATGAGGGCCTAGAATCAGGTTCCAGGCTTCCCATTCACTAATAAGTTGTCTTGGACATAATACTTAACTTCTCTGCTTTACTGTCATCATCTATAAAATGGAGGCAAGAACACCGATGCTGTAAGGTTGTTGTGAGAATTAAGTGAGCTAATGTATTTCAAGTTCAGGGCACAATGGCTGGCATAGAGTAGGCACTCAATAAATAGCAATTATGACTCTAGCTTGAGATATGGCTTCCCCAGATCAGCTAAGGCCCTAGAACATGCTCTGTAAACCACAACTTCTGGGCAGCCAGAAGGAATAAACTGACAGCAAAGTACAAAGGCAGAGAGAGAGAATATGAAGATTTTCAGATTCATGACCCAGGATTCTAAGTGCCTGGTTGGCCCTGATTCCTTCTGGCACCATTTCAAATTCCTGGGTCTCTTTTCCTCCTCAGAAAGAACTTCTGACTCTCACACTGCCTGCATCTTCTCAGCATTGCTTACCAAATACCCCAATAAGCCCTGGAGCCCCCCCTTCCCTCCTGGAGGTCTTCCTGGGATAGGGCTGGGAAAGGATGAATGAGGCCAGACCACACCTACACACAGTGGCGTGCCACTGGGTCTAAGATGGATGGGGCAACCAATTCCCTCATTTCTTCTAAACTTACTACGTATATATGGAATGAAATTTTCCCAGAGTTCAAGAACTAGTTTCTCTATAGAAGTCTTAGAGAAAAAAGGCCTATTAAAAAACAAGGAATCCGTCATATTATTTTTAAGTAATATGAAAACATCCATGAAGGGCAGATAAGATTCAGGCTTGTGGTATCTGTCCTTGGTTCACAAGTCAAATTTGAGCCTGTCACTTCCCTGCTCCAACACTTCTAATGGTGGTCCACTCCACTGGAATAACCAGGCCTCTGTGCTGTCACTCAGGGGCTCACAACCTTGCCCCAGATTACCCCTCCTGCATTAGGTCCTGCCATTCCTCTACAGAAATCCCGACCTACAGTCCAGGCAGAATGGATGATCTGTTTCTACCTAATTGCCTTCAACAATTCCCAGCTCTCCACACTTGTGCATAGTCCAATCACAGCATCTGTCACATGTGATTGCACATCTCCCCTTAGCCTGTGATCTGGGGACAGGGTGAAGACTATGTCTGATTCCTCTCTGGGTACTTACACCTAGCACAGAGCCTGGCATGAGGCAAATACTCAATAAATGTTAATGCATGAATGAAAACACCTGAAGTTATTCTTCCCTTATATTGTTTTAGCTGGACTCTTACGAGCAGACTAAGCAGTCTGGGTCACTGCCAGGAAGTAGGAAAACTGAAAAGAAAGAAAAGAAGCATGACCAATGTGATCCAAGCCACGGAGAATAGGTTTTAAGAGTGAGGTAAAAGAAACTAAGGCTGCTTAGTCTGGAGAAGAGAAGAGGAGGCCTAACTCGATTCTGGCTTTAAGTACACAAAAGGTTCTCATGAGAAAATCTTGATCTCATCCTGCCTTTATAATCAGAAGGAAATTTTCCATATTCAAGGAAAATGGAACAAGAAGAAATGGCTTAAGTTAAGGTCAGAGGGTTTTAAGCTGGAGAGAAAGAAGAACCAAATTAGGTACCACTTTTCCAGAGATACTGTTATCGTACTTTTTGGCAAGTGAATTGAAGCTCACTTAGCACTTTTGTTGAAGGCTGTGCA